CAAGAGGAATATTAGTTCAGGAGAGAGGAAAAAATAGCCTAGCAGGGCTGATTTTCAAAAGCAGCCTGCCGTTTTGCTTCTGCAAATAATTACAGACTCATATTTTAGCGGTTAGATGTCTAAGTGCTTGCATCCATTTATTAGGAAGTTGGAGGTCTAACTACAACAAAATGTGTGCAAACTTGCAGAACTGGAAGGAGGTTTGAGATGCTTCTAAAATTGATTGATCAGTCAACAGCTGGACTGCTTTCCAAGAGTTTATGGGAACAAAATGTCTTTCTTTTTTTTGCATGAGGTCAGCATTGCCGCAAGAAAGAGCCCACGAGATAAGGTGCTTCAGAACTTCCTGGGTTAATGGGACTGAAACAACCTAGTCCTGCAGGGGTTTCGTATGGCTACCAGGAATGCACAAAGGGGGCTGGGCTCTAGGCACGCTGTTTGCTGTCGCTGCCTCACTCAGACCTTACAACTCCTTTGGCATCTCAGTTTAAGAAGCAGACAGACTATTCGGTTTGTCAGCTGTCGGGGACTGCTGCACACTGGCTGCCTGTGTGGTCGCGATACACACCTTGTGCCAGCTGCCTGTATAGGTGGCTGTCTTAGGCAGCTTGGCAGTAGCTTGGACTCAAATCAGGTTTGAAACCTTGTGCCCAGGGCTGCAAAAGCAGCATTAAGCATAGGTTACTGAAGCCAACATTTTTCTTCCTCCCTGTTCTTCAGTGTTGCTACCCAGGGCGCTACCAGGCCATCTCTGCTCTGAAGAAAACATTCTTTGGCGAAGAGGCATGAACCACTGTCTCCTCTTTGTCAGAATAGGGACCATTCTGAAAAACAAAAGATTCAGTTTTGGTGAGGGGTGTGGGGTGAATTTTAGAAATGCTGTGCAGCTTTTACAAAATGTGTGTGGGAGGTCGCAGAATGAGGAAGGATGGGACATGACTCAGTATGTGTGACACCCAGTAGCATAAGATCCTTTCTATTACTCATGCAGGATGGAGCGGAAAAGATCTGTCAGTAATGTTCATTTTAGACGTCGTTTTCACTGAAGTATTTGACAGAGGAAAGTTTCATTGCTTTATTTAGTGTATTTTAGATCCAAGAAAGGATACTTTCTGTATATCTGAAAAACTATTCATCTCCATGGCTGGCTTATTAACGTAACAGAAACTGGCCCTTAGGACACGGCAGCCTGACTCCCATGTAAAGGGTCATCAGAGTGAGCACAAACACAACAGACTCTTATTTTAGAGCCCTTTTATATTGCCAGTATGATGCAGAGTGATTGTGAACATAAGAATGAGCCTATTTTAAATGTCTGTAACGTGATAAAAATTGCTGACCGTTACTGTGTCATACTCTCCCTCAAACTAAACTTTACATTCAAGGATAAATGTATTCACAAATCTTAGCTGCTGTCCACACACAGACAAAAAAGTGTAAATGTCATCTGAAGTTGCTCACTCAGCTGGGAGACTGCCCCCACCCCTATCTTGTCTCCTGCAATTACCCTTTGGCCCTTTCCTCCAGCAGCTATTTCTTCCTAGCTGTTGTGTCTTACCATCTTTCAGAATACAGCAGCCCTGCTCCTGCTGCCTGTCAGATGTGGTGAGCTAGACCCAACAGACGACCATCACCCGGGGAGCGTTGGGTCTCGGCACCAGGGTTTGCACAGGGTCTCCTCCAGTACTCAGTCTCTGCAGTACTAAGGGTTACTGTTTCTCTCTCGCAGCTCAGCAGAAGCAGGAGAGATCCAAAATGGTCTTCTCCCCTCCCCGTTCCTGCAGGAACATGCCCTTTCCGGGTAGCCAGATAGCCTTCAAAGGCAGGCTGAAGCTTGAGTGCACAGCTAACAGCAGTGTATAACATGGAGCGAGTCAGCCATTTCGCAGCCTGGCAGCAGGACGGAGGCAGGCGCTCAGGAGGACAGGAATGGAGGAGCAGCACCCAGTGAGACTGCCGGAGGAGTAGCCTGGGGCTTGCGAAGTGGAGGCCACTGCTGACTCTTTCACCGTGTACAAAGACAGAAGGATCACACGAAGAGTCCACAGGGGTCTGGTTGGCTTTCTGCGTCACTGGGAGTTGCCTGATGTGCAGGCAAGCAAACTGCTTCTACAGCTTGTTCCTGACAGCTTTTGAAGTAGAGAAAATGGCCAGGGAAGGGTTAGAAAACAATCAAATGGTTTTCCGCTTTAGCTCAGGAGAGAGGGAACGAGACAGCAGAGGGGGATCAATTTTCCTGGTGAGTTTGGCTTATCAACTCAGTGAGAAGTTCACTTGTCTTCCTCTCAAGGTCAGCAGAGCGAAAGTGTGTCTCACTGTGACCTTCAGGACCTTCTGTGTTGCAGGGTTTGCTCAATTTTCAGTCAACCCTCATGGAGTTACTGGTTCATCACAGTGATGCTGGTGCCTGGCCCACCATGTCACTCAAGAAGAGATGGCTGGACTGAGAGTTAGAAGTCCACACTGTGGTCACTCAGTCTGTTTCCTAGTCCCTGTCTGGGGGACCATGTGTGGCAGTGGTGGGGCCTTTGGGACACGTGTCATGTGTAGCATGAACTGACAGCCTAAACTGAAGTCACTCCAGTTGGGTACAAAGGCTACCTTAGGTGGAGCTTGCCTGTTTGTATAGGGTTCAGATGACTTCATTTTTAAAGAGTGCATGGAGTGCATCCAAAGCAAATAATTCTTCTGTGGTGAATGGGAAGACCAAAAGGAAAAGTCTGGAGAAAGGAGGATGGATGGTCTTTCTTTAATGTCAAAGCTGACATAAACACGTCTCCTCCAAACCCTGCTCACAAGATAATTTTCTCAGCAAGACACAGATTGCTTCAAACTCTGTGTGGGAGCCTTTGAAGCTTCCCCCTTATTGCTGTTATGGAGGAGGCAGGGTTGTCTGAGAATTTCTGCAGCACTGAAGTGTTCTTCCTCCGAAGGCTTTCACACAATCAGATGGGTCGTTGCTCCAAACAGCTCCCTCTTTGGAACTTCTCTGCCATCACACAAGGGCAAAGTGATATGTCTGTTTTTGCAAAATTATTAAATTAAAAAAACTAAAAAGGCTTCATTAGAAATACTCTGACCAGCTCTGTGTCAGGACTCAGTTTTCGTTACACAGAGGCCCAGCGAAGAAGGTGACGAATGGTGTTGGAAAGGAGCCACCAATTAGGAGACATCAATTTTTCTGTCAACAGGATAACCCCTTTTGCAACGCTTGTCATATGTTTATTCCTCCTCTGTTTGTGAAGGTATTTGTTTGGCAGGGATATTTTGCATGAGGGGAAGAATTTGTCAATTGTTTTTTTACGGTTGTCAGTGCTGCCCTGTTTGGAGTTCCAGTCTTCTGGGATATTTTCCCGGTTCAGCGTTCTTACTCCTCAGTCTGTCTGCTGTCTGTAGCTCTTCCATTTGCAATACTTTTTGGGGAAAAAATTACTCTACTTACTTCTGCAATGAGTTCTGGAGTGAAAACACTTGTGATGGTAGTAGGCATCTTGGGAGCACAGGCCTTGGGGCTTGCAGTGCCTTCAGGTTGCAGACTTAGGAATGTTACTGTATGGGTGTTCCCAAAAGGAAGAGGAGTGCATTTCTGAGCATTTCTTTCTTAAAAATTTATGCCTATTATGCTTGCATCCTAATAAGCGTTCCGTATTTAATGGTTTAAGATACAACTGAAGACATACAGATTTTTTTCCAGTTTAAACACTTACTTTACCCGCATTCAGAAGACTGGATAGCTTCCACCACCTCCTTTTACTGTATAGGTAATTTTACTCACTTTACTTGTGGGAAGCTGTACACATCCCTTGTTCATCCGCATACAGTGATACACAGCTGCTGCTGTGTTTCTTAATGCCTTATTGCAAGTCATTTTATGAAATCATCGGTAGCAAATGCTTGACACATATTAGAAGAAACAAGGAAGCCCTGTATACGTGGGCATATGTGTAATACACAGAGAGCAAGAGCTGCCTGTGCGTTTTATATTTGGCAAGAGACTGAATGAGAAGGACAGATAGCTGGTGGGATTTCAGACGGGCACTGGTAGATGTTGACATGACCTTAAACGTTCTTATGTGGGAACCCAGCTTCAGAAAGTGGAGCATACAATGACAGCTTTTTGAGGGATGGCTGAAAAGTTACAGCTGTGCAATGCGTATCTGCTGGGATACTGGATAGATCCACATTGGTTTTTACCTGTGGAGAGGGGGAGGCTTAGCATGGAATAGTTAGAGTGGAATGTCGTTATTTACATGATAAGTGGCCATTACTGGTAGATCAGGTATACACCTCATCATCATCTGGTGTCAGGTCATGCTGCTCAGTGCACGGCTAGCAGCTGTGTTGAACATGCGTGTTAATGAGTGCAACTGCTTTGTGCTGGTTGCAGACCACACACAGACCATCTACTAGTGTCTAACATAGGCATAGTTATGACTCTGATGTAAAGCACTCATTTCTGTTTTTGAAATGGGTCAGTGTCTGAGTACATCCTTCTGGATGTGACCATGCCTTGCTGAACGCAAAGGTTGAGGCAGGTTTTGAGGCTCTAAATTGCAACTTTCCAACTCTTTTTTCAAGTACCTTTACACTGCAAAAGCAAAACCACTTGTGTTCCATAAAGTCCTGCTGTTTGTCTTCAGGGTGGAATTTGTGTTTTTTTAAACTGATGGTGAGGCTGAATCTGCATTACCTGAGCAACCATCTTTGTGCCTGAGCTACACTGCTACCGCTGCTTGCGGTGGAGTGCAGGAATCTCTGCTGAGGTGGAAGATGGGTAGCTAGTGGCAGCTTAGTCCTTGCCTGTAAACAACTTTGTGTTTGGGGGGGGGGAATTTTCCAAAGTACCTAGGTGATTTAGGATCCAAAATCTCTGTTTTGGTTATTTCTAGGCTCTGGAGTGAGACAAACATTTTTCAAAGTGTGATTCTGTCTTGCTTTTTACAATGCCATCTGCCACGAAGATGCCCTCTTTTCTTACTTATCATGTTCCTCTTTTCCAGGCTGGCCTTCCTTCTATGATGTGATCAGTCCTGACGCAATTACTTTCAACGATGATTTCTCCTATGGGATGCATCGGGTTGAAATATCCTGCAGTCAGGTTAGTTTATAGCACACACAGACCATTCCGATGGCAAAGGCTGCAAAAATCATTAGAGCGCGCTGTACTTTCCCTAAGATTTGCAAACCTTTCAGTTCCATTAAATAGTAATCATTGTGAGAGAGCACAATGGGTCATAGGTATAACAGCTGGATGGAACGAGCTGAAGGCACAAAGGGCTCATTGGAATGCACATTGTTGTCTCGTGTGAGATTTAACAGAGCAGATGTAAATGGTTGGGCTCGGTGCTGAGTCTACAAAAATTGTTTTCCTGAGGAGGGTCCCTTCAAAGGAGCTCCTGAGCCTGAGCCTGGCCGACTGACTCCACACGTGAGCGGTTGGGAGGGAAGTCGAAAGCAGTGGAGCGACTGTCTGTGTGCTGATTCCATCACTGCGCATTACTGTGCAGCCATGCTAACTCATTCCCAGCGCTCATTCCCAGCGCGGTCCTAATGGCTGCCTCAAAAAGTCCCGTCTGCCATAATAATGAAGTCAGTAGTCATTCAAAACATGCCCAAATTTTCCGTTATCTGTCTTGTTCTACTTTCTCGTATCCTTTGTGCTGCCCTCCTCTCTGTGAAAGGAACAGCATAATCATTACCTAGCAAAGGGAGAAGCTGCTGCATTGGCATTCAGCAGATGTGCCCAGCAGCTTGCAGTCCTCTAGCTCTACATGCTCAAAATCCTCCTGAGAGAAGCAGCAGCTTCATTTGGGTAGTGGTAATTTGCTGTTCTCTTTCCAGACGGTATTGGTGGAGGGTAACTGATTTAGTCCCTGATGATGTGCATCCTAACTAGTCGGTCAGTACTCGTATATAAATGCTCAGAGTGAGTTAAGAAGCTTCTCAATAAGAGGCAAGATTGTCTTTATGGAGGATCCTTCAACTTCAGTCTGGGTGGCAGGTTTGGCCCAGCATGATAATGGCCAAATCGGCACGTCTGCTAGTATGTCATGTGTACTACATAATTCTGTAGTTTTAACATTGATGATACGCTTTAGAAGATCTGTTAAACACTTTTCAGGACCATCCATTTCCCTAAATTCTCTAGTGAGGCAGCAATGGGACTGCAGACTGGGAATCTTGTGCTTTACCAGTGATTACTGGCATAATCAAAAATGCAACCAACTCTCGTCAGCTCTGCTTAGTAGGCCTGAGTAGCACTAAAATCAGCATACTGCCAACCTGCTGAGCCTACATCTGCTGCCACCCTTGAAGAGGTGGCCAGAGCTCCTGGTTTCACCTGAGAGAAGCCCAAGGCAGCCTGTGGTCAGGCCAAGGAATCTGTGAATGTCATTTACCTGTTGCTAAACAAAATAGTGTTAGCAGACCTGAGGCCCGCAGTATTAGCAGCAGTCACATGCAGACACCATAAAGTTAAAGCAAAACCAAAACCTGAATTTAAAGCATTAGGAAAAAAACACGACCAAGGTTGCTATATGATCCAATGGCAGCTTCCTACCAGCTATTCCAACTTCTTGGGGCAGTAACCCCACAGATGATCAAGTCATGCAGGAAAATAGCTTGAGGAGTGGTGAGCATCTTTGCAGCCATGGCTCAGCACAGTTAATAACGCTGCATTGTGTATCCATAACAAAACCATTTCCTCCGCTTCTCGGAGCCCTAGGAATGTGAATTGCACATGCAGCTGCAAAGAAACGCAGTTTTTACTGCAGCCTGGAAAGCAGTGGGATTGATATGGCAGGCCTTGGTAGAACTGGAGGGAAATACACTCTCCCACACCCAAAACCTTATTAATCTTTTGCAGATGAAAAAGTAGTTGATTTTTCTTTAAAAGTCCTTCCACCTGTCCGAGAGAATAAAAAACCTCTCTTTTAATGTTCTCCGTTATAGAAAGCAAACACTGGGGGAAAATTGCTGTAATATTAATCAAAGATGTCCATGGGATTATCCTAGAAATAACTTTTACAGTTTTTGGAAACACATCAACCTGGATGTATGTAAAAGGTCAATGATTAGTGACAGGTAGAAGTTAATTACAAATGCATTTGAGGAATACTGTAAACCTGGTTGCATCTCTCTGGTTTTTTTCTCTTTTCTGCTCAAGAGTCCCTTCCCCTGAGGTCTTCGTAGCTATTATTTATACCTGTACCAGTCAATAAAATGCTGTAGTCACAGAATTACTGTTTGCACGTTGGTAGCTTGGCCTTGGCTACAGCAGCTGACTGCAAGCTGTTTTCCGTGCCTCCCAGCAGCATATTAGAACCAGGAGGCTTGGGAGATCCAAGCATACTGACAGTTAGCAGTGGCTTCCCCCTTTCCTGCTCCCAAACACATACTTCATGTGCTTTACTCTAACTGTTTCACTGTCCCAGTGCATTCTGCCCAGTATGTTTATGTGCAAGGCTGCAACAGATGATTGTTTCTCTTTGGAGGCTTTGCAGACATGTATGTATGCCTTAGAAAAATGGTCGGCACCTATTAGGTGCGAGAAGGACAGTAATATCAATTCATCCTATGTACTCTCAGCTGAGGGCCAGGTTTCTTAACGCTGTGATACAAAGGATTGAATTACATTTCTTTTCAGGGCGGATGAGTTATAGAGTCCTCTACAGAGAGAATCGCCACATAAATTTTTGGTGCAGGGTAATCTCAAAAGGTAACAAATTTTGCAGTAATCCAATCCTGGTGTGAATCTGCCATCACAAGAAGGCGTAATGAGACTGCCTTGGAGTCTCACACAGCTTCTCAGATTTTGTGAAGAAAACGTTTTTGACAGATTGTCTTTGTAGTCTGTATGTGAGTGCATTACTCCTGCAGACCATTTCTCTCTACAGTTTCTCTTGTTCTGTTTCTGTCCAGTGGAGAGGGAATGATTTATCTTTGGTTAAGTGTTAATCTGGAAAAGATCTGTTTAACACTTCTAGCCAGGAGGTTTTGAAGCGCTCTTGGTTGAGATGAGATGATTTAATTAGGATGCTGAGCATTTAGAAAAATACTCTCTCTGGGACACTTAATTTTTTTCAGAGGTTTTTATCCCAAGGTATGGAAAAGCTTTATGATCAGGTGAAATGCCTCATTGTGAGAGACTCCACTCTGAAAAATAGCTCGGGTTTTCTGCCGAAATTGCCTGGAAAAGGCCTTCAGTCTAAAGGAAAAGGAAATAAAGTAATCAGTAGAGAATGGAGGAAAGGGTGGCAAGAAAGCAGTCTTTCAGGAACAAGATTTGAAGCTTTGTCTTCTCTAGTTCCCATGCACCTTTCCTTTGCCTTTTCCTTATTTGCCATGTTTTCTCTTCCTTCCTTATAAAGCCGAGCAGCTGCTGCTTAACCCAAAGTCTTCCATGCCTTTTTGCATTGCCCCTGGGAGCTCGTCCTGCTGCTACCGTGGGCTAGAATCACCCTTGTTTGTCATTGGGGTCCTTGCTGGACTGCCATGGCTGTTCCAGCGACACTGCTGCAGGAGCAGGGAGCCTGCCCTGGGATGTGGCTGCAGGGCTGGGGGGGACAGCCAGGAGCACTGAGGCTTCACATGCCTGCCTGCCTCGCTCCCGGAGTCACTGAGGATTATTCTTTCAGCTGTCATTGAAGGAGAAGAGTTTCTGTCCCTGCTAGCTGGCATGAGAGCCTCCCCCAGCCTTTCGGTCTGTTGAGACAGTTTAATCTGAAGCCAAGACTTTACCTGTTTCTGCAGGTACTGCTTTGGTGAATTAAAGGCCATAACAGCAGGAGAGCATTAGCAACACATTAACTGCAGAGCAGAGATTTGCCATCACTAGCTCATTCACAGTTCAGAATAATCAGTGTTCCCTCTATGTGTTTGGGATACTGTGAATTAATTAAATGTGAAGACTAATTTGCAGTCTTTAATTTTTGCTGTCTGACTGCGAGCTCACGAGCAGCTCTGTGATCTCAGTTACATCATTCTGACTCTGACTGAGATCAGCTATTGACTTGAAAGGCCTAGGCTCTTTGGTAAAGCAGCATGACTTTCCTGTTCCAGATAAATATTTGTCCAGTGCAAGGTTTTATTTTTTTATTTCTTATGGCAGGCTGTAAAAATGAACTGGTGGAACTGAAGTGACTAATTGCAAGAGATTCTTATTATCCAGATAAGTTGTCAGCCATAATGTGCAGTGATAGTAATGCTGATTTTTGAATAAGGATCGACTGGATCAGCTTCTTCAAAATATTGTGCTCTTCTGTGAGGCAAGGGACTGTTACCTTTCTTGCAGATAGGAGCAGTAGTGTTTGCCCTGAATACCACTGCGAGTATCTGAGGCTGATTCATACAGAACAGAAGTGTCAACAGACCATCTGTAGTTTCATATTCCTTACAAAAAGCAAATGCGGCATCATTCCTATTTATAATCACTCCCAGCTAAAGAGTGTTCATTCAGAAATATTTTACATGTCTTCACTACAGGTCTTTTTCAGTCACCTGTCCCTATCTCCTATATACTACGGAAGGGAGTATGAGTAGTGGATGAACTCCATCCCCTTCAGGGGTGAGGAGCAGAGGTGCACCCAGAAGGACTCTGACGCTCAGAAGAGTGCCAGACTGTGGAAAGAAAACAGATGATGAGTATGAGGGCATGCTCCAGAGAATATCTTCACTGCTTTAGGTCCTTGCTGGGATCACCGAGGGGTTTGGTGTTTTCTTACAGGGGGACGTAGCAGATGGCTGCAGGCTGAGGAGAGCCCAGAGCTCAGGCTGCCCTTTCTTACACAGCTATCCTTACAGCAGTAAGTGAAACACGGGCCCTGCTGCCCTCACCACCATGTTTTTAGCTGAGCTCCTTCCATGAGATCGTTACAGAGACAGGAGGCTTCTCAGAAATAGTGACCCAACCAAAACATATACACAGTGGCACAACGGGAAACACCCAGGAAATTTGGGCTTGAAGTCTTAGGCGCCCGTGGTATCTCAGAAGATCATCTTCCTGGATCACTCTTGCAAATAAATGTAGGTTGTAAATCTCACTTGAAAGGGCAATGTAGGCACTGATGTACTTCCTTGGAAGCGGATGCTAGTCATTGCTTAACACCACGGTGATGCTGTCAAGCTGCACAGAGACTCAGTGATACTCTATTGTATTTTGTTTCAGTGTGGCGCTCACCTGGGGCATATTTTTGATGATGGACCTCGCCCAACTGGCAAACGATACTGCACAAACTCTGCTTCGTTATCTTTCAAGCCAGCAGACAAGAACAACGCCGGAGAAGGCAGCAGTAACACCAGTCCTGCCCAAACAGGCAAAGCTGAGCTGTAGGATGAAGCAAAGCCTGCAGCACTGATCCCACACAGCTTACAAGGAATGTTTCCTAAGTTGCCTGCTCTCTTATATCCTGAGAATGTTTAAATGTATGAAAGCATTTTGCACCATCCTTCTTCTTCCTCACCTTTTCGAAACTGAGGCCTTGCCTGCCAGTGCATTTACTATATTATTGGATTGAAAAATGGCTTGACCTACTCCACGGGTTTTCTTTTCCTTTCTTTTATTTGAGATTGCTTTGGGGAATCCTTAAATAGAGAGACTTTGGCATCATTAGTTATTAGTTTCTTAGTGCTGTGTTGCTCTAGGTTTGAACACTATTCCTTTTTCTGTGGGAGATGGGACTTTTGTTTACCTCCAGTCTATAGGAAACTTCTGAGCATAAGAAAATCCTGAATTCCTAGCACATCTCTGCTTTGTTCTGACTTGCGAGGCATGCAGCCTTTGGTCATATGTATTCAGCCATCTCCCAGCATCAGCCGCACCCTGCAAAAACTTGTAGTTATGGCTGTTCCTTCCCAACTGAGAGAGATGGATGAGATGCAAAGCCCATCCTTTGGCTAATTGACTGCCAAAATTCCAAGGGTGTGGTTCAAAGGATGTAAACATTGTCTCAGCATCTGTTTTTCCCCTTTGTTTGGTATTTTAATCAAGGTTTTAACTAGTAAGGCTGACTTTTGTGGGCTACTAATGAGGCTTTGTCTTTTTGTGAGGCCTGTTCAGCAACTGTAACTCAAATCTCAACTAAAGTTGAAATCTGCAGGGGGTAATTATATGGACAAGTGCAGAGACAAACTTGAGAAGTGAAGTAGATGAGGGATGACACTAGGCTCTTTATCTTGTCAGTTGCTACAAGGATTCAGAAACATGACAGTTTCTGCTAAAAGGCAGTTTAGCAATGAGTGTGGCAGAAAGAGGGAGACCCTCCTGAAGTATCCAGTTTTAAAGATGAGCTGGTCTGGATGCATACTGCCTACAAGGCCCCAGTCTTTAATTTGTGCAATTGCAGTGTAGGACATGAGCGAGGAGCTTGGTTTAAGAAATGAATTTCTAAAACGCCTGTCAGAGGTCCAGAAATTATCATGTAGCAAAATTTGCTGTCCCTTAAGATGTTTTTCACAGCTGCTTTTAGATTTTGTTGAGGAACAGTTTGTCTAGAATTGTGCATAATACTGTTCTTTAGGCTATACTACACAGCATTTGCTAACACTACTTTGCCTTTAAGCATTGAGGGACTTAATGAACATAGTATTTACATTTATTAGCAAACTTTGTGACTAACATGTTTGGATCCAATTTTATTTCTAGTAGGAGCAAAGCAACCACTGATTTTTATGCAAGCAGGATTGAGGTTTTTATGTCAGTGATAATAAACATATTATCTAAAGTACAAACATCCTTCAGTTACAATACAGCTACTGTAAAAGCATACCAAATGGTCAGAATTGCCTTTTTTTTAGCAACATAAGACATGAAAATAGCATACAATAGCTTAACATTGAATAGATGCAAATAAAGATGATAAATACTTAGGGGTAAAACACTCAGGCTCTGCTGTAGTGAGCACCTACTCACATGAGTATTCCCCCAGATGTCATGCAAGGAATTGCTCCTCGACTGCAGGAAAGGATGTGCAGACTGACCTTTGGTGTTTCAAGGCAGTAGAGTTTCTCCTGGTCCCATTGTTTTTTAGCAATTTCTTCTAGAAGGACTGCTTTTATCCTTTGCTTTTATTTAAAGAAAAGTAGGTTTTCTCTACCACATTTTCTGACATAAACATAAAAAAGGCAGCTTCTATGAAAATGTGGGACATAAATGTGGTTTAATTCCAGCTTGCTGTTGGATTTAAGTGTTATCAAATTTCAGTATATTCCTGCCTTATGTTAAAGAAGTATATTACTTAAACTTCAGTATGCAGTAATGTATGCTGTCCTACAGGAGATTTATTTTTGCAGGATATGGAGTGCAATGAAATGAGTCAATATGGTGAGGTGTATGTGATCTCTGGGAGTTAGACCATTTAACATAGGAAATGCATTGTTCTCTCTTGTGCACAAACTATACCACGGTGCAGTGCGAGCTAAGACAGATTTCCTTTTATGCTCTTAGAAGATGCTAGTGAGAGCTAGTATTGAACTCTCCAAATTTGGTTCAGTCTGGTTGTGATCATGACAGAGGAGACTTGGGAGCTGAGCACAATGTATAGAGTAATAGGAGAATATTTCTGTGTGTTTAAATTTTGCACTGTCTAGATGCTTATAAAGACTGAATGCAAACTGTGTAGAAATAGCAAATTATATTTTAGTACTACTCAGATGTTTAAATAGCATACCTTAAAATATCATGTAAGTCATAAATGTTATTTATATATACTATATATATATAAAATTGCACATGTTTTTTATATATATATACGTACACACATATATTATCCAAGTATAGTTTTAGCCTTCAGTACCTTTTTAATAACTAAAACCTTTCCTTAAGAGGGTTCAATACTTTTAAGAAATCGAATATACATTTTTCAAATTAAATTTGTTTTCATATATTTGTTGTACACAAATATCAAATAAATTTCTTTATAAATAATTCTGTTCTCCTTCCTTTTTTATCTGTTTTTATGTCAGGTTTTTGCACCCCTAGCTGCAGCATGTCTTAAGGAACTCCTTTTACTTTGCTTTCCCTTAACTTGCTGTGACGATTATATATCCAGCACTTTGTCTCCAGCAGGTTTCTGGCAGAGGCGCAGCTACCAGGTGGCCTTTCACTTACCTGCTTTTGAGAGAATATTGCAAGCCCCCAGGCCCGGTAGAGAGGGGAAATGTTTAGAGAAAGGCTCAAATTTTACTTAGCAGAAGTTGTGGCCGCTTCCGGAAGATGTGGTGTGGGATGCAGTGAGTTGCAGGCGTGCTGTAGGAGCCCCACGGTGCCCGGGCTCAGTCTGCAGTGGAGGAATTTGGCTGGAAAGTTGGTTTCTGTCAATGTTTCATCTCCAGGGATGCAGGTTGGGAATGCCCTGCAGTAGATCAGCTGTGCAGGGGGTTTTAAAAGATAGGTGCGAGGGAGGAGAAGAAGTTGCAGACTGTTTTCAAACCAGCTGCAACGTTTGTGTTCGTGGGAACCAGAGAGTTACATCAAAATTAGTTCACTTGCTGATTGTTCCCCAGCATTACAGAGTGTCTGAGGACAGACGACACACTGAAGACTTGCTTTACAAGTTTGGTATAATCCCTGTTAGTCCAAAAATTAATCCCTTGTAGCCCTCTGCCTCCCACCCATCCACTGTAGTTCCTTCTCAGAACCGCAATAGTTTGATTTTTCTGAAATGAGGGACTCACTGCTACCCACTAAAATGAGAATCAGCTGGACGCCTGGCGGTGGCTTTGCTTGACGCTCCCGGCCGGTCCGTCAGCACCCAGAGGTGCTGTGCTAAGGCACGTCTGTGGGGTGTGCGGTCCTCTGGCTGCTGCTGGCCCGGCAGCAGGCGTGAGGGACGGCTCTGCGCTCCGGTCTAGCTCGAAGCAGGCTGTGTTTTGCAGTGCGTAGCATGAACTTGTGCCTAAGACACAGGTACACCCTGCCACTTCAAAACCAGGGAGCTTCCTAGTGAGAGACGCTCTCCCTGCTGCGCTTGCTGTTCTTCAGGGTGCCCTGGTTGTAGGGTGGCAGAAGCAGTGGTGGCAGGATCCGTGAAATGCTTTGTGATTCTCTTATCATTGTAGCTATATGGCTTCCTTATAGTAAAGGCAACTTAACCATAAGCCTTTCCCACAAGCTGTATCAGCTCTCATACACTAAAAAAAATACAGTGTGTGTATGTGAACTGGTTAAAACCGTCCGACAGTGTCTATAGCATGTGTTGCCCACATGGACAGGGGTAGGCTGACCTGTGGGTTTGTGCAGCAATGGCATCGCTCCTGGAAAGGAGAGGGAGCTTGTTGTGAAGTGATGCCTTAGCCTCTCGTTTGTACGCCCAGGTAAGCGGTGTCTGAAGGCTCTGTTGTCTTTCAGGATAAAAGGCAAGGTAGAAGTGAAGCGCACAGCCTGCCTCTAGCGGCCCCGCACCAAACAGTGATGATGACAACCCACGGGGTGGGACCTGCCCAGTGCACTGGTGTGAGGCATGAGACCTCACTGCTCTTGCAACAGCTGACAAAGTGGGGCTGTGGCGCCAGCTAACCTCCGTTGTATTTCCTCCTCTTCGCACCCCGAAAATGGCTCAGTTAAACAAGATAACATCATAGGTCAGCATTTCTGTTGGGGTGACACTGAACAACGCATTGTCACAAACATGATGCTAAGTGCAGATGTGGATCTTGGTATTCTATTGATTGTACTGGAAAGTACTGAGCCTTGTTTTGCCTTGCATTTACCCAACTGAATTTGGTAAGCCATGAGGTTAGGCCTTCTCCAACAGAATATGTCATATGTATTAATTTTTCTTGTTATTCAGTATGTTACAAAATGTCCGTGGTTAATGTCGGTGCATGGCCAGCAGTCCTCTGCTCCTTCACCTGTGGTCTGGGAGGGGGTGTGAAATACATGATACAGGCTACTTCATCGGTCCTAACTCCGAGTTTCAAAATTGTGCCCTCTCTTTTCCCATCCGTGAAGGAATTTAAGGATGAAAAAACCCCAGATGTTCTCACTTTCAGAATTAAAGTCAGTGTGCACTATACCCACTTGTTTACGGAACAAATGGCAGAGTATTCAGTGGCACTGGAAGCAATTTCATCAGCTTCCAAATTCAGGAGAATAAGTAAAAATGTTGCTCAGCTTATTGGCAAAAGGAACTAATAGCTCTTGGTTTATTGACTATTAAAATGAGGCCACCTACAGGTCCCACAATAAACCTGCAAAAATGTTTAATCCTGGATATTGGAAGAGCTGCATTCCAGGCTGGCTTGCTCCTGCTTTGTTACAAAGAGAAGTGATACTCCACAGGGCCTGACTGTGCTTGTCAGATCAAAGCCACGACAGCAGTCAGCAACTGTATTATTTTTACAGTCGTTCTTTAAAAAAAAAAGTGAGATAATACTTCCAAATGCATCGCAATCAGTGAAATCACTCTACCAGCCAAACTCCGAGCAGCGTAGGCATGTGACGTTCTGAAATCCTTATACAGGCCACCGGTGTCACATTAAATGCACTGAGCAAAAAGGTCTCAGTTCAGTCCACGTGTTTTTGGGATCAGGGCCTGCTCGAGCAGCCCAAATCAAGCAGGAAGAGTGCACTCGGAAACCTTCCCCAGAGACCTCCTAGGCCTTGTAGCCAACCTGCTCAGACCTTTCTCTTAACCAGCGTAAGCCAGCAGAAAAATAGGAGCGATTCCAGAAAAGGAAAGAGGAAAGGCTTCCAGTTTCAAACTCCTGCTTCATTCACCTCTTGTTAGACAGCTTGCAAACACTGGAGACATTTCGCTCTGCGGATGTCTTAGCCAGGGCATTCTCACTCGGTGCTCTTTATGGTTTCGGCTCTGACGATACCTGCCGTCTAACTTCTCTTAGCCAGGAAATTTTACTGCCCTAATGCTGCAGGTCTGTTTCCATCTCCTCCGTTTTCAGTTGCTGCAAGGATTTTCTGCTCTTTTGCTTTTCAATAGCTGGCATTCCAGACGACGATATGTTACTCTTTTCTTTTCACTGTAACCTAAAAACTGTCTGAGCCGCGACTTCACCTTGTCTCAGATCCCCTACTTCTCACTTTTTGTCTGCCCAGGTGGAAGGAATGTGTGTTGCCCAAAATACAAGCAATC